GTAGTACTTTTTGGATATTTTTAGTTTTATACAATTCAATGTCAAATTAAAAAAAACTTAATTTTATTCAACAAACATTTTATATTGTATATGTGTTATATAATGATATTATAACAGTTATATAATTTTTTTTCGAAATATATTTTTCAGTGTATAATCTCCACTAAAGGGCTCAATAAAAATCAAGAAATCAGATAAAACATTTGTGATTTAATTTGAAACTTTAAAATTCTTGGCTATAATTTATATATATATATAAATTTATTTGAATATACCTTTGAGACACAAACACAAGTAAAAAACGTGTTTTGAAAATGAAAATTAGTTTTCTGGCATTTAAAAGGAGTCAAAAAATGTTTTTTGGGGCTTTAATTTCACATAATTTTCTAGACTAAAGAAAATTTTGTTTAAGAGACTATTGATTTTGAAATGATCGTAGACTTAAACATAAAAGACACAACATATAAGCAATTTTTGTCTAAAAATATAATAAAATAACAAAAATTGTATACAATATATACTGTATATAATTTCGGGTGAATTGAACTCATTGAAAATATTCAACATAAATAGCTAAATGAAAAACAAACAAACAATTTATTTTCTAAGTTAATATACATATACATTAATACATATATATTCAATACAATATGTAAGATATATTTATAAACTTTTATTTAATTTTATGAGCGATCATTACATTGAAAAAGTCCCGGAAAACTAATATATATTTTTATATACTGTGAAGTAATAATAGAGTCCGGATTCATAGCCCATTGAATTGCGACACATAAATGGTTTAAAAATAAATTAATATAAATATAATTTATATATTATGCTTAATTTACATATTAAATATAATCTACTTATGTATAATAGTATAGTATAAGTATACTATACTGTAAATATCTAGTGTTGAGTTCAGCAGAAATTGCTAATCATTTTTCTCGCAAAACAAATCAATTTTTAAAATTGGTGATAATAATAATTATATAATATAAAATTTTTATAATTAAATATATATATATATTTAAAAAAAACTAATAATAATCATAAGAAAATCGCTAATTTATTCAGTTTTATAATATAATGTATTTAATTGAAAAAATAAATAAATAGATTGATTCAAAATTTTTTTGTCTAAAACAGTGTTTTTCCATATATTAGACATTTAAATGATTAGTCAGCCGTATTTACAATAGGATAGCAATTATCATGCATTTCATGTTAACATAAAATATAAATATATTAAATAATATATATATATATATATATTAATTAATTAAATGTGTTTCTAAATTATAAGCTATTAAGAAAAAATGATTGTTTGATTAGACAAACTTTCCCTCTTAGAGTTAATTGCATAATGATATACAGTATTTCAATTTCTAGACATTGTATATGTACTATATTTTTCTAATTATTTAGTATCTTAAGTAATCATATTTTTCTTGTTATTTATTGCTATTTGTAGTTTACCTGTTAATTGATAATAAAACATATCAAATACTGTGTGTGTGTATATATACTGTATTGTACTTTATATTTAGTATATTTAAAAAAAAGATAGAATTATCAAACCAAGAGAATAAATTCCCCCAAAACCTATAATACTTTATCAATATTCCATAAATAAATTGAATTCAAAATTATTTGAATTCAATTTTTCAAAATTATTTGAATTCAATTTTTCAAAATTATTTGAATTCAATTTTTCAAAATAAAAACAATATTGTACTAAACGTAATTAATAATTATGTTTTAAAATTGCACAATTATTTAAGCCTATTAATAACATTTGTATAAACATTATTTTATTTTCTTTCAATGACAACAATCACAGACTCGTAAATTTCTAAATTAATTTCTAATTGTTATAATATAATACCTTATTTAACGAGAATTCCTGGGAAATTTTCACAGGTTTATTTGGAAACTTTCCATATCTATACGATATATATATATATAAGATAGTTGTTATCTATTAAATTAGTAAAACAGTTAAATACAGTTTACTCTATATAATTTTTTATATAGTCTATAAGAAAATAAAGTAAGTTAATCAAAATAGACCATTACTTGTCTAAATAGACAAGTGTATGAAAAAAATCCAGGTATATAAATTTTTTTATTTAGAAAAACAAATAATAAAATAGTATCTATTATACTGTTGAATGTGTTATTTAAGTGTTATCATTTCAATGATAAATTAAATATAACAAAACAAAACAAAATAAGTTGGCAATTGTTCATATTTAAACAAATGGAGGTTCACATTATCACACAATAGAAGCATTTAAATTATATAAATATAATACATTTAAAATACAATATTATTGACTATATATATATACAGTGTTACCTATTTGATAACACAGTGGTATTACTGTATAAAAAAAAGAAAGATATTGTTTCTATAAGTTTATGTAATAGTTCTGATAGATCTACAATATATACTGTATATATTAAATTGTTTTAAAATTATTTTCCTATACTGTATATTACTACTATCAATGTATGATTTTTATCGACTTTTTTTATTACTGTATATTTTAGGTTTAATTAAATATGAGGTCAGAGCTGGAGATGTAGGCAACTGTCGTCTATTGTCATACATTATAGTACTGTATATAAGCTATCTCTTCAAACAATGTGTTTGCGATTATGATATTAAATGCAAAGTATTTTGTTTTTCTTTATAACTCTATTCTTAGATATATATAATATATTGTATAAAATGTAGTTTTAGTTATAATAGATTATGAAGTAATTAGAGCTCACAGTGGCCTCAAAATATAAAATCATTGTTTTGTAGTCTTGAAAATTTAGTACACAATGAATATATAATATTAAACTCGACTATAAAAATGATATCCGAGAAATTATAAAAGTATTTATATCTACAATAATCAACACATATTTTATAGTTAATCAATTGAAAACCACTTTTACTACTGAAATAAATAAAAGTCAAATGAAATATAATTTTTTACTATACTTTACTAATATAATCATATTCAATGATAATTATATATATATATATACTGTATATAAAATTACATTTTCTACTCATTAAACAAATTGCAAGTTAAGTGATATTTAAAATGACAGGAAACTGGATATAACATTAATTTTTACAATAAATTTGTAGTAAACATTTACTAATGGTAATAATACAGTATTTATAAGTAATTTGTATTTATACAGTATTATTAATACACTAGTACTGTAAATAAATAACAGGTATATTCAGTATAACAATAATAAATACCTAATAAATTAGACGGTACATCAATAATAATACTAAAAATATAAATATATTTTCAATATATTAATACTGTATAATGCATAAGCAAAATACATGTAAACATCCACAAAAAAAAACAAAAATATAAAAAACAACAAAAATAATCATTTTAAAGCAATTTCATGTTTAGTGTTTATGTGTGTATTTAAATTAAGTAATGTTAAAATAAGTTGTATGTTATTTGTAGAAAATGTTTAAAAAATTATTTTATTTCTTATTATTATTTTTTTTATCAGCCAAAAAAACTACTCCTTTTATTACAGACAACTGTCCCAATAACTCAGTTATACTATTGAACTAATTCCGTGTGTTTGTGTGTTGGTATGTATATCATATCAAAACACAATCCCAAACCAAAAGGGTAGATACCGGAGCGTCAAGTGTAACACTGCTATCAGCGATATTTCCAGATAACAACTTGTTATCAATTTTTATATTATCATTATGATTACAATTATTATTAACATTAATAATAATTTTATTTTATTATATTTATTTAAAATTTTATTTTGATATAAAATTATTTCATTTATAAATAAACTTTTATTTTGTGTAAACATTCAATTACTTGCTATAAATGTTTTTAAATGTTTGAACACATTTTTATTTGAAATAAAAATGCCATAAATCACGGATTATGCGATTAATTATAATGTATAAAATAAATTGAAATAAAGACAACACTTTTGACAAAACATTTGATGATTGCAACCAATAATTTAATAATTTATTTCAAAATAAGGTCAATGAAAAAATCGATACATTTTTATATATTTTTCTTAAATATAATAATAATATTAATATATAAAAACTATGAATAAAATTTGAAAAAATAAATGACAATAAATCACATTTAAATATAATTAAATAAATAATTTTTAACGTCTTAAAAATAAAAACCTAACCCTTTTTTATTTTACTCAATAGATATAATAGACTCTTTTAAAAGCAAATATGGTGTTAAAACAAGTTATATATATATATATATAGATTTTGTATACAATTAAAATTTTCATTTAATTTAATGGACAATATTTAAATATCCAACAATACTAATTCATTTAAAAAACAATATAATTATAATCAAATTTAATTACATAACGATAAATAGGGTTTACAATTATAATAATAATAAAAAGATAGGAATGAGAGGACATGGAGATATCGAGAAAAAATTATAAAAAAATGGATACAATATAAATGTACATGTATATTTTATGTATAGATAGTTATAGATAACATATAAATAGTTTAAAACAATTGATTAATTCACATATATTTTTTTATTAAAAGGATTGATATTTATATATATACCTAGATTTCAATAGATAGTTATTTGTTGCTTTGTCCACAATCTTTAATTTATACCATAATATAATTATCATATTATAAAATATTTAATTTATCATTTAAATAATATATAGGTATATTTATAAATTTATATATTTGTTAAATATATAGACTTCTCTCATAAAAATCATTGCAACAATAATACAATCAATAAAAACAATTGATGCACTTATTCTTATCAATTATTATTATCATAATATTTAAATAATTATATTTCATTTGATTAATAATTAATGCAGATTTGCCCTCAATATTGTTATATATATATTAAAAAGACTCAAAAATTATCTCTTGTTTTGTATTTTTAGTTTCAAAATTTTTTTTAATTTAAAAATGTTTTACTCTTTTTTTTGTTTGTTTGTTTGTTAAAATGTGTATATAAATATTAATTTTTTAATTTATATTTAATTTAATTAATTTAAAAATCACTAAACATTTTTGTCGTCATATTTATAATAGTGTCGTTTGTATTATCAAACTCATGATGACTATCACCCGCTAATGTCGCTAACAGATGACGACCCGTTCCCACCACATCTTTCTCGTTGAGACCGTACTCTTCCACATCGGGTCTATAAATAATGACATCAAAGAAATATTTATATATATATATTATATTTAATTTATGACACTTTCCAAACAAATGGTTATTTTATAAATTAAATCAATGTTTCGAAATTAAAAAACATATGGAAAGTATAGCATTAAAAAAAAGTAACAGTGCTTTCCCCTAACCAACGCGCCATTAATCACTGTTTAAACAACATTATGTTATTAATTTTAAAGTCAAACATTTAATAAAATACTAAACGCATTGTGATTATAATCTAAATAAATATGGTATAAATATTATTATTTTAAATACATATCAATGAAAAAAACACCTCTAAATGTTCGACAAAATACAAGGAAATGCAAAACAATTATTATAATAAACGCAAATTTTTGTAGCAAAAAAAAAACAACAAAAACAAAATCACATTTTCTAATATAGACACACCTGTATTACTAATCTAACACAACACTACATAAACCGCACAAATACATATGCGATGTATATGTAATGATAAAATCGATGGCAAATATTAAATAAAAAAATAAGAAAAAAACAAAAATATTGTTTAAAAATATAAATACTGTATTTGACAAAAACGCAAGCGATTTATCTAATAAAAATCCTATGATAGGACTCACACTCCTATCACTTTAAAAATAAACTAATAAATATAGATAACATATATGAGTCATGAGGTGTATATATATATATATATATGATTATGAATGAAAAATAAATTAATTTTGAAGACATACCTAAAGTAAGGCACGAGAATCAATAGGAAACTAAGAATTATGACAAAAAACGATGACTTGAATGATGCGTTCGGTCCGTTCATCGACAGAATCTTCTTCATCTTAACCAATAGTGTGTCGTTTTCTTTCTTCAGTTTAATCACTTCTTTCTTGAGAAGTTCGTTCTCGTGATTTCGTTCATCAAACCGCCTCTCGAGGTCTTCCAAGTATTCCTTCTTTCGTTGTCGTGAACATTGGGCCGACTTTTTGTTGCGGATCTTTCGGCGAATTTTTCTCAAAATTTTTTCCTCATGTTTGGTAAGAGGGAGAGTTCCAGACGGGAAGTCGTGGTAACCTATCGATAGAGGGAAAATTCAAACGACAACAACATATATGAGTTCACTATAACATCAAATATGAACGGAACTGATAGCATATATGTGTGATATTTGTGACAAACCTTATCACATCCAACACATACATACACACACACACACACACACACAGTAACGACAACATACCTTCTTTAGCGAGTAATCGTTTCTCTTCATCGGTTAGAACCAAATCTGTGATTTTCATATTCCTTGGCGTCCGGCTTTTGGGCGATGTTTTCGGTGACGACTTCGTACTGGATGTGCCGCTTGTGTACTCTTTGGGCTCTTTCTTAATGTTCTGTGCGTTCAGAACGACGACTTTGGAAAAGTCTATACCATTGGTGGTGTTGTGATTAATATTATTATTACTACTACTGTCGCTGTTGTGATGGTGGTGTGTAGTAGACGATGAACTACTGCCTGTGCTTTCTGTATAACTGGCCGGTGAATCCACATTACAGTCATTGAAATCGTCACTATTGATTTCTATCTCATTGTCGATTTCGACCTCACATTTGATATTCACAGGTTCGGGACTTAATGAGACACTAGATTTGCTTGAATCTGGTCAACCATATAGGGGGCGGCATTGGAGGGTAATCAAATCAAACAATAGAAAAAATATTAGATAATCATGCATAGCAACATAATTATAAAAAATATATTTGTTTTTCAATTAACAATTAAATAAAAAACTATTTTTATACAAATCATTTTTAAATGAGTTAACAGAAAAATACTCATAATATGAGACCCAAATTAATATATATATTAATATAAATATATGATATAAGAAAAACATTAAATGATTCATATATTTTGGTGTCAAAGACAGAGAAAAACTAAATTTTTTGTTTTTTAAAAAATAAGTTAAGAAAAAAATTTGTCATTTAATGCTATTAGTGATTCATTGAATTTAATTTTTTTTAAAAATAATATTTTATTTATTATAAAAACAGCATGTATTTGATAGTACGGATACTCTAAAATATAATACACTTTACACAATATATACCATTTGGAAAAATATGGTATTGAAATACCGGTTCCCCCCTTGACTACTACAATACTACCACCACCTCTCTTAACACACTACTACCCATAACTTGAATTCATAGGCGAGACATCAGATAAAATATATATATATAATATTTAATATAATAAAAGCTAACAAAAAAAATAAATAAAATTATTATGAGTTGAACTCAAAAAACACCGGCATTTGTGAGGGCTTTTCGCAATCAATGCAAACAAAACATTGAGAAAAATAAAACTATTATTTCAACCAAAAGGCATTGTATTTAACATTTATAAGTCATTTTTAAAGCACTTTTCATATATAATAATAAATCATTAAATCATATCTAAAATCCATTTGATAACAATTAAGACATTTTTCTAAAAAAAAGTAAATTAACGAATCGGTGTTTGCCTTCAAATTCAAACAAACATATATTCAATACATTAAACAATATTGACATCCAATTGATTGCAACAAATTAGCGAAAAAACAATTCAAAAGAGTCTAATAACCTGTATTGAAGTCTTCGTCAAACATTTGGCCGCTAAACATATTGATACTATCGATGACACCGTTGCCAATCCACGGGTCATTGTTGTCCACCATCTGTGAGAACTCGAAGGCCATATCGTCGTCGTCGAGATTGGCATCGAATGTCGACATAAGACTGTTTGACGACATATGAAACTCGTCGCTGACATTCATGTCTTCTAATAACTTACTCATTGTCTTTTGATTACACGAAAGATATATTAATATGATATCACAAAAAACATCCGACACTTTTCAGAAAACACTTCAGTCAACAGTTGTCCACCACTTATATTAAGTTATGTTGATTTCAATCGATGTCGCGGTGTTTGTCGATCACAATTTGGTGGCTATTTCTCTATTTCTTCACCGATGATGGCCTCTACTCGCCGGTGATCACAGCAAACGCCGACAATGAACTCTCTCGTCGTTACACTTGTCAGTAGTTGTCGAAGAAGTTCTTCAAACGGTTGACAATATGTTTGCCAAAAAGCACTGACATATGGCTTAATAGTAAACACAGAGTCGATCCGTCAGTGCTATCGGACACAGGGAGTCAGTGTCGACGGTTCACTGGCGCTGTAGTGTATGGGCTCTGGTATTATTGAGAAGAGCCAAGACTTAGAAATATATTTAGAGTCAGTCGAGTGAATACAACCAACACTTAATACATACACACATACACTACACTACCAGCCCTTACCACCCGTAGGTAATGCCTTCACAACACAGTTGACGGCGTTTTACGCAATCGATGACTACAAGCGCTACAATCGTTAAGCAGTAATATTATAGTAGTAATGATAAACACAACACAAATACACTAAACTTAAAGATTACGTGTTATAGTGTTATAGTTATAGAGTTTATACCAGAGATAGTGTGAGGCAATAGTTGTGTAACGCTATAAGCACTACACACTCGCGCTATATGTATGTATGTATGTATTAAATGGCAATGCATTGACTCTCTCTATGTTTTGACTAAACATATGGCAATCAATACGCAAACTCATTGCCAATGACTGCCATATCATTAGTGCTGACATCCAATAACACACAACAAACTTATCATTCAATTATAAATAAATGATTTGACATTTAAATGTCACGTAAATGTTGTTTAAAATAGGATTGATATTAAATATCAAATATGATGTTTGTTTTTTAGAGGTTTTTATTTTATTAAAATTATTTTTTATTTGATAAATAAAAATATATCAATCATTAATATAAAATAAATGCATTTTTTTGTTTATTTATTTCAAAGTCAGTCAAACAAACACATGTTTTTATGAGATTATAATTTTGTACTAAAAAACAATATTTTTGGGTTTAATTTTTCAAATATTAATTAATATAAATGAGAAAATGTTTGTTTAATTTAATCTAAACATACCTTAAATTTAAATACAATTAAATTCATTGAAAGCACTGGTATTTAAAAGTTTTGTTTTGTTTTGAAAACTATTCAACAAAATAGTCACGTATTTTGTGAATTGTTTTGAATATAAAATTTCATTATTTTTTTATTGTTTTGGATTTATGTTTACGTTTTTGACTCGTTTTCACCGATTGTTTGCGTGAAAAACAAATATAATATATATTATAGAAATCTGTGGTAAACATCACCGAATGGATCCGGCATTGCTTCGCGAAAGAGAAGCCTTCAAGAGGAAGGCGTTTGCTAATCCGGTCGTCGAAAACAAGGCCCGAAAAGAGTCGGCGAAAGAGTCGTCATCGGGTCCATCGGCATCAAAGAGACCAAAGATTAAGAAGGAGTCGTCGAATGTGACCAATCGGGACATCTATTCGTTGGCCCGAACTTCGAGCACTTCGTCGCATAATTTTGCCGTTTTGGCCAAAATAGTAAATTGGATGAAACAACGTTATCTCGATGGAGATGCAGAAGCGCTTAGCTTTGATGACCTCTTGGATGAGACCAACCAATTGGATCTAACGCCCAAACAAAAGAACTGGTTGTTGACAGAAGCGCTTCCAAACAATCCAAAGATTATTATTACAGAAGAAAAAAACTACGCCTTTAAACCATTGTATCCGTTGAAAGACAAGAAATCTTTGATAAGACTTTTGGATAAATACGATCAAAGAGGTCTCGGAGGTGTATCTCTTGAGGATGTCCAAGAATCATTACCAGCTGCCGATCGGGCTGTCAAACAATTGGCTGATATCAATAAGATCATAATAGTTAACCGTCCGATGGACAAGAAGAAGATACTCTTCTATAACGACACATCGATGGATCTGAAAGTAGACGAAGATTTTCAGAAACTGTGGCGAAGTGTGGCCGTCGAGGGTATCGACGAAATGAAGATCGAAGAGTACCTACAGAATCAGGGCATCACTTCCATGCAAGATATGGGACTCAAGAAGAGCGGTCACGTTCAGAAACGCAAGAAGACGGCCAACAAACGAAAGGGTAACTTCAAGAAACTTAATGATCACATGCAAGACATTCTCGAAGACTATACCGATAAAAAACCATAAATATTATCAATTTGTTTCATCAACTCATCTATCAAACAATTGTTAGTCAAATGAAACACACATTTATATAATGAAAATACATATTTTTAAATGTTTATTACTGTTATTAAAAAACAGGTGCTTTCATACATTTATAACACAATTGTTTCATCATTTAAGTTATTAAATTGTATTAAAAATTAATGAGAAAAAATAAAGTATATATTTATAATAATTATTAATTAAATATTTTGTCTAATATTTAAAATATCAATAATAAATCACTTGTGAACACATTATGAATGATAATATTAGACACAAAAAATAATAGAAATTATCAAAATATAATCGATAATACAGTCATATTTAATCAAAAAAATTATAATATAATTATAGTCATATATATACTAATAATTTTAATTAAATGATAAAATGAATTTAAAATAAGCCCTCAATTTACTTAAATACTAGAAAAATCTAACTAAACTTAATAGAGTTAACACCCATATTGATGGGTCCGCCGCCATAACTACCCTTCTTTTTCTTGGTCTTCTCCCGTCGGAAGTCCTTACCTTTGACTGCACCCAAACTTTGTGCCGCTTTTTTGCCCCATTGATCGAAACCCTGCTTCGAGTCGAATGAGTTGTCCATCATTGGTGAATCACCGTTCACTTGATTGCTATCGACTTTTATTCGCCTAAACGGCGATGAACTGCGTTTTGTGGCCGATTTTTTCACTTCCGCAACATTATTGTTCTCAAATGTTTTCGGTTCTTCCGAAGAACTCGAGTCATCCGAATCGCTTGATTCTTCTTGTTGTTGTTTGGCTGGTGTTTTAATTGTCGGAGTCTTTGCCACTGGTTTTGAGTTTTGAATCGCTTTATTTGGTATTTCTTCTTCGGAACTCGAATCGTCTGAATCACTTGATTCCTGTTTTTTAGCCGGCGTTTTAGCAATTGGTGTCTTTGCAACCGATTGTGGCTTAGAATTAACTGCTTTACTAGCAATAGGCGTCTCTTCTTCAGAACTTGAATCGTCCGAATCACTTGAATCCTGTTGTTTCGCCGGTGTTTTAACTACTGGTGTCTTAGCGGGTGCTTGAGGTTTAGCCTTCTGTACAACCGGTGTCTTACTTTTAGGCGCCTCATCCTCTGAACTCGAGTCATCTGAAGAGCTCGAATCCTGTTTTTTCGCCGGTGTCTTACTAATTGGTGTTTTAGCCAATGGTTTATTATTCTGAACCACTGGTGTTTTCTGTACTACCGGTGTCTTACTTTTAGGCGCCTCATCCTCTGAACTCGAATCATCAGAACTAGACTCTTGTTTCTTCGCAGGAGTCTTAACAATTGGTGTCTTAGCCAACGGTTTATTGTTTTGATTTGCAATCGTTGGCTTATTTTTGGGCACTTCTTCTTCGGAACTCGAATCGTCTGAATCACTTGACTCTTGTTTTTTAGCCGGTGTTTTGCTAATCGGCGTCTTTGCCTGTGGTTGTGCTTTAGCCACAACAGGGGTCTGCTTGGCTGTTGATGTCAATGGAGTTTTCTTCGGCGCCTCTTCTTCGTCGGAATCATCGGACGAATCATCCGAATCACTCGACTCCTGTTTTTTAGCCGTAGTTTTATTAGCGACAATCGGAGTCTTTGCTGGCGGTTGTGGTTTTGTTGCAGTAGTTGTTTTAACCACTTTATTATTTGGTAACTCATCTTCAGAACTTGAATCGTCCGAAGAGCTCGAATCCTGTTTTTTCGCCGGTGTTTTACTAATAGGTGTCTTAGCCAATGGTTTATTATTCAGTACCACTGGTGCTTTCTGTACTACCGGTGTCTTATTCTTAGGCGCCTCATCTTCTGAACTCGAATCATCTGAAGAGCTCGAATCCTGTTTTTTCGCAGGAGTTTTAACGATCGGTGTCTTTGCCACTGGTTTTGTATTTTGAGTTGCAATCGTTGGCTTATTTTTGGGAACCTCTTCCTCTGAACTCGAATCGTCCGAATCACTTGACTCTTGTTTTTTGGCAATCGGTGTCTTTGCCTGTGGTTGTGCTTTAGCCAAAGCGGGTGTCTGTTTCACCGGTGAAGTCATTACCTTTTTCTTTGCCGGCTCGTCATCTTCAGAATCATCGGACGAATCATCCGAATCACTCGACTCTTGTTTTCTCTTTAAAGACGATGTATTATTTGTGGCTTTCGCTGGTTGCCGAAGACTTGATTGCTGTTTTAATAACATTAACTTCAACAGTAAAAAATCACTTCCTAATTGATCCGCAATATTCTTGTATTCATCTAAGTTCTTGTCGTTCACATCCAGTGAATCAATTGAATGTGAATACAATGCTTTAACAATAGACACGACCGACAATTTGGTAATACCTTTACCGAAAACTAAATGGTCGGCATTGGTGTCCAATTTGTTACAATTGTTTTGCAATAAAAACAATTTGTGGACTTTAACTGAGTCGGTCTTTTTGTCGGTAAATCGTAATTCAAAATCTAGATATTTATTTTCGGTAAAATACTTGTTGGCCACTAATCGCCAATTAGTGTCCAACGATATCGCCGACGAATTAATCTTTAAATCGTTTAACGACTGCAATGTCTTGTTTGCCATTGTTTTGTGTCAGTTAGTTCTTCACTAATTTAATAAAAACAAATCGATGGTCACTATCGATGACAATCAGTTTGTGTGTCGCCGACAGGTATATGTCTACTGTGAATGTATTAACTGTGGATCAATTGCGGTGATGACTCCGCAAGCATTGACTCAATGTGTGCTACCATTCAAATAATGTGTGCTTCGACTGCTTGATAGACAGTTACCAGTGCTMTACTCATACCCTCCCCATAAACATACTGTCCATTGGTTTGAATGTAGGGTTGCGTTCAATCAATTCACTCACCGCTTAAATGGCTTTTGCTGTGTATTAAAGGCAAACACGTGTGTAGTAAACGCTGTAAACGTAATATATGTGTGCATGTGTTCGGAACATAGATTTATTAAATTATTAATATATATACATATATATATAGTGTAACCTATAGTATAAAAGTTATGCTAATAATTTAAGCTCCGCCCACCAGTAAGTTTATGTGTGCAAAAGTGCATTGTGTGTATAGAGAGTTTATTTTTACAAAGCATGAATTACATGTTTCATAATGCGATTGCCTATAAAATAGTGTAAAACATAATTTACGTGGATCAATCAATCAATCAATCAATCAATTTTACCGGTATAAATTTATATACAGTATATTTTTTAGTTAATTACACAGCGTAATACTGTAGGTTTAATTAAATATTTTATAAAATTAAAATTATGATAAAATTTTATTTTTTTGTTATAAAAATTAATAAAAATATTTGTTTTACATTGATACCTATAAATTATAGACTACAATGTACTAAACTATTACATTTAATAATTGATTACTTTAATAAAAGTATTTTAACATAAATAAATAATATTTTTAAAAATCTATTTTTAGTTTATTAACTAACATACTGTAAATAACAAGTTATAATTATTAATTTAATTAAAATTGATAAAATATCATGTTTTATATGTACTATTTAAATACAATTCTTAAAAGTTACTTAAAATTTTTTTAAACTTAATCAAAATCGAAATAAAATAAATTATATATAAATGTTTACTAAATTATTATATTATTAAAAATTATAAATAATTTATAAAAAAATACTCATATTTTTATTTTGTAGTATTTTTAAATGATGCTTTTACTAGTTGCTTAAATAAATAATTTTGAAATAATTACTTAATAACTTATTTAATTAATTAGATTATTAAAAGGATTTATCTAATAATTAAAAATGTAAGGTTGTTAATTTAATTTTAATTTAAGCAACTTTATTTAATTATTACTAACTTGAATAAAATATCAATTATCTATACAATTATAAAAGTTTCAATWATACATTTATATTCTTGATAATTATAACTTTTATAGATTAATTTTAGTTTATATTTAATTCAAATTTTAATATTTTATATAATTATTGACTACTATTCTTTTATAGTTTTAAATATTTAATGAATGCTATTATATATATAATATATATTATACGCTAATATATATTATATTTGTATATTATATCTTTTTTTAAAAAAATATTAATACTACTTATAACAATAGGTAAATGGTTCAATAGTGTCATATATTAATTTTAATAAATGTGATGTTAAGTATGCTTCAAAAAATTTATTATTATTATTATACATGAATTGATTCTAAAAATAAAATGATTATTATTATTATATTCTTTATTAAATTTAAACAAAAAAAACTAAAAATATTTTCATATAATTTATATACTGTTATACACAGTTATAATACAAATTTAATACAGTAATAAAGCTATAGTATAGAATAATATAAAAGTAGAGTATATTGTTTTGAAAAAAATGTATTTTTATTGTATATATGGAATATACAGTATATATATAGTAAATGCTGTATAAATTCATTTATCAATGTTATTATAGGGTAGAGGAGTGTATGATATTAAATAAAAACAAAAAACTTTATTTTTTGTCAAAAGTGTTTTCACACTATATATTAATATACAGTATATATACAGAATATACTCTAATAGTTATATACAGTATATATATATATAGATAGATATAATTTATATATATATATCGTATATATATTATATAATATTTAAAGCAATTTCTTTTCTCTATTCAAAAAGTAAAGGAGTCAATGACTTTCGTATTTCATAATAATATTAAATAATAGTTATTATTATGAAGTTTATGTCATTTATTATCTCACTATATGTCAGTCACAAAGTATTTGCTGTCGAAAACGGGTAGACAACGAGTAAAGGGTCAATCAATAGAGTCCAATGTATCGGTTCCCATGTCTGTACTGCAGACACTACCAATCTTTCGTTTGTTGTTTGCTACACGCTTTTGGTGGGCATCGATGAGGAACAGTAGCAATGAGCCCAATGCTATGCATAGCGATGACAAATAATAACCGGAACGGTCGCCAAACTGATTGTTAAGTATAGCTATTGATGTAATGATAATAATAATAATAAAAAATAAAGTAATAATAATAATATATTGAGAAAGAAATCGATAAATAAATAACAAAAATAAAATAAGTTTTAATTCAATTATTTTCTATTTTTACGATAAAAATATATAGTTTTTAAATATAAATTGCTATGACCTAAGTGTATTTGAACAGCAAATAACAAGAATATTCTGGATATTTGTCAAACGTTTTTTTTTGTAAAAAAATTTATATCAAACTTTTAAGTATTGTTAAAGCAGACAAACAAACAAAACAAGTTTTTTTATAAAAATATTTTCCCATAAATATTGACACTCTGTGTGTTTTAAAACAATATTTTATATATATTAATCATTTGTGATAATAGATATTGATTTTAGTGTCAAAATATACAGATTCTTATTATTACTCTTTTTATTATTGTTGTTGTTTTTCAATGTTGGTGTGCAAATTAAATTAACATAAAACAAAACTAAAAAACTTATTTTTTCTATGAATGAATAAAATGGTTATAAATAAAAAAATGATAAATTGAAATTTAATAATCACTTAAAAAAATAAAATGTCATTAAAAACTATCGATTTTATGTTTGTTATATAAGATAAACTAACTTTATATTATAAATTATAGAGTATATCACTTAAAAATCAAGTAATGGTAGTAGAAAATACATTATTATTAACATTTTGAAAAGATAAAAACTAAATATTTTATTGAAATATTTTTTTAAAGCTATAAGATAGAAAGAAAGAAATAAAGAGAGAGAAAGAGAGAGAGAAAAAGAGAGAGAGAGAAAAAGAGAGAGAGAGAGAGAGAGAGAGAGAGAGAGARAGAGAGAGAGAGAAAGAGAGAGAGAGAAAAAGAGAGAGAGAGAGAGAGAGTACAGACCTGTTATGGGAACACCAATAGCGGTGGGTATTGACTGACAAAATTGTATGCAACTCCAGGCGGTATTAAAATTTCTTGCCTTAACTTTTTGATAGATAAACATTTTCAAAGAGTATCGATAGCCGCCATAGAAGAAGCCATACGTCCAGACAAACAATACATAATCACCAAACTTATTGTCACCATCAAGTACTGCGGCAAATATCACTAGTATTGCGCTCATCATAAAACATGAACCCTGGCATAGGTATTGGCGGGCAATCATACATTTAACCGAATTATTCACTATAAGGATGCCATTGGCAATGGTGCCCAAAATCATACCGATCCCTAAATATAGAATCAACGAGTTGTATGTATGAACTATGTTGTTGTTGTTGTTGTTGTTATTGTTGCTATCATTTAATCCCTGCTGTGGCTAACAATAAAACAAAGATCAATATATTTAATATAAAATAATATTATATTTATACTGTATATATACAGTATATATTGATAAATACTCGTGTAATATGAATAGTATAGCAACAAACTTATCGTAACAAACCATTAATAATAGCAGAGGTGCTGTCGTGCCTATAGATGATATACAAGTGCCACAAATCAATATCTGAACGGTTCTCGACTTGAGCACCGAAAAGTCCAAATAGGGTGGTTTGTCCAGTGATGTACCCAAATGGGAACTACTCGATGAACATTGTTTTTGAATTACTTCTTTTTGTTTCAGATCTTTCTTAGCTTTAATTCGAGATCTCTTTTGAAGGTTCTTCAGGTGAAGTATAGCCCGTCTCTGCGGGTGATAGAGTGAAACTGGTCGGTAGAGAACCGATAATATAAATGATATTAAGCTGATTAATGCCATCGCTTGGAAACCAAACCGCCAGTTCTTTGAACTGGTATTTAGTTAGAGAAATATATTTATATATAAATAAATAAAATAATAATTTTTATTTATTAGTTGACAATTTGTTTCAATTCAAACACACAAATCGTTAATGAAGTCTAGAGTCAATTACCTGATAAAATATGTGACCGCTTGTGGCATAAAAGCGATTCCTATACCGGAGCTCGAGATCACAAACACCTCAACAAACTCTCGGCGTTTTTTGAAGTACTGTCCTATCATGATGACAGCCGTCTCCCTTATCATTGAGACGCCCACACCTACGATTATACCGTAGCTAATAAATATCTGATGCATTTGTGTGGCAAATGATGCAAAAAGGCACCCCAAAGCTGTTATCAGACCACCCAATATAGCAATCAATCGGACACTTTTGCGCCGACAAACAGATATGACCACCGGAGACAAAAATAGTGTGACGGAAGTGGATAGACATCCGATTATTACTATTTGATAACAAATCGGAAATATATTAAAATATTATTTTAAATGTAATAATTTTATTTGACTAAAATTATATTAGTTCATACAGTATATTAAATTAATTATATTTGTAATGCAACTAAACAAATAAAATTAACTGAGAGTTAAATATAAATTATAATTTTTTGTTTTTTTAAATTATAAATCATATTTATATGTCATATTAATGTGTTTAAAGTTAAAAAAAACTTTATAAAATTTTAATCATCTATAATAATTATTACAATAATAACTTTTAAGAAATTTAATACTTTATATAATACTAATAATTACATGTTTTATATAAAAACAAAATAAATAAATATTGCAATATATTATTATAATTTTTTATTAGAATATATATCGATATTTAAAAAAAAACATTTTGATTATTATTAATATATCAAATATAATTACTGTATGTTATTATAAATTTACAATAAGAAAAAATACTTAAATCTGATGTTAAAATTTATTAAACAAGATTATCAATTATTATTAATTTTATTATATTAAATATATATATTTGACAAATAACTAAATACAGTATTAATATAGAGAGAAAAGTATTAAAATAAAATATTAATTATAAAAATGATTAACTATAAAATTCAATCAATTGCTACAACGTTCATATACTATGTTTGACATTTTGATTAACTATATATTATGATATTACAAACAAACAAAAAATGAAAAACTATAATTTACGGATATATCTTATATATGAAATATTGGTTATAAATATCACTGAAATTGACATGTATTAAGATTTTGAGATAAATATATATATATTTATTTATTTCTAGGAAAAGTTTTTTTTGCCTGTTTTATGATAGATATATATTTTTGGCTTAAAATATATATATATATATAAAAAAGTTGACAATTTATTTTTTCTCTATCATTGTTTGCTGGCAAACAATTGTATGTTTATTTTTAACTTTTATCGATCAAATAGATTAAAATTCATCTAAAATAAACAAATAAAAGTTAATTTTTAATATTAAATCATTTTTTTATATTGAAAATATTTATTATATTTATAAGAAAAATGTATTTTTTGTAAATAAATGATTCATAAAAATATAAATATATAAATAAAATATTTATGGATAGAGTACTATATTTTATTTTATGGCATATACTTAAATAAATGGTAATAAAAAGTTTTTGTTATTATTATGCAATAATAAACTTAGATTTACATTTGATATTACAATAAATAAGTGATGTGGATATATGTGGATGTATTATATAATATGTGTATGTGTATGTGTATGTGTATGTGTATGTGTATGTGTATGTGTATGTGTATGTGTATGTGTATGTGTATGTGTATGTGTATGGTATGTGTATGTGTATGTGTATGTGTATGTGTATGTGTATGTGTATGTGTATGTGTATGTGTATGTGTATGTGTATGTGTATGTGTATGTGTATGTGTATGTGTATGTGTATGTGTATGTGTATGTGTATGTGTATGTGTATGTGTATGTGTATGTGTATGTGTATGTGTATGTGTATGTGTATGTGTATGGTAATGTAATCTATATAAATAAAAAAATGTATACATTGCCAAAACTATTATGTAACAAACACAGCATAACATAAGTTTTATTACTAAAATTTTATTTAACAATTCTGTAAACTAAATAATGCAATAATAATGATAATAATAATAATAATAATAATAATAATAATAATAATAATGTGGAGTTTTTGAAACATAAAAAACCACTTATTAATTGATATACATTATATACCGTATATTAGAAACAAATACATAAAGTATTCGATATATTAAAAACAATTATTTTCTACAGTATTATGATTCACAATTGGGGGCTTAAAAATTAATAGCCTATTAGTGCTTAAAGGGTTCAATAGTTTTCACATATTCAACTACACATAAAAACTAATTAATATTAAATTTTATATAAATTTTTATTATTGCTCAATTAATGTATTTATATATTATTTACAATATACAGTATATATAAATAATATAAGTATTCAATCAGTTTTTGTTCCCATTTTAATGGATATAATGGATTTATATCTTATTTGTACATATATTGTAAATTATAAGTTAAAATAATAAAATTTTCTTAAAGCTAAGCATTTTTTTATTCAAGTGCCAAAATGCAAGCTTTTGGCAATTTGTTTAATATATAATTTATATACAGTTTTAATATGTATATTTGATTTAGATTTTAAGTAATTTTTTATAATTAATGAGTTATTAAATTACCATATAAAAATATGCCAAATAATATATTTAAATCTGTAAATGTTTAAAAAAAATTATAACTAATCAACTTTATTTGTTTTGAGATATATCATTAAATAACTCGTTTATCATAAATTAAATACATGTAAATTATATAATAAATATATAATGATATCTAATAAAATTTTGTAATAAAAATAAATTTTAATTTCACATAGAAAAATAAAGTAAATGCAATAAAAATTTTTAAATTAATAATTTTTAAGTATATAAATTATCAATAATTTTTGTTTTAATGTGTCAATAAGTTTAAAGATAATAAATGTTATTTAAATAAATTAGCAAATATTAATAATTTAAAAATTGTAATTTTATCATTAAGTTTAGTTATCACTTGAACCAAAATATTTCTAATAATTAATAAAAAATAAAATACAAATTTCATTTATATTTCAATATTATCCTGACATATGTCTATAGCTAGTTTCTAAATTTTTTTGTTTATTTTAAATTTTTGCTAAATTACACTATTTTTACAGTAGTATTTTATCATATAGATAAATCAAATATTCATCAAATAATTTTGTAAAATCAAACATATTACTTTAATTTTATGATTATATGCTATTAAGCATTAAGTATAATTAATTAGTATAACTAAATATACAATTTATATGGACTAAATTACATATAATTTACATAAATGATGCGACTATAATAAAAACTTGATGGGATCTAAAAATACAATTTATATGACTAAATACAGTATTATACAGTATAATAAAACTGATGGGTATGCATTATTAATACTATATTATCATAAAAATCAATGGCTTACCGCCAAACATATGCTTTCCATTACCAAACGGTTGTCTCAATAGATAATAGTGAAATACAGCGTAAGATAATTGCAGACCAAACGTAATGATATAGAAGATCATAACACAGAGGACAACAACCCAACCCCAGGCACCTTCCGGATAGTAATGCTGTTTAATAGTAGATGTCTTATATTCAATGGACGGTGGTATCTGGTAATTGGACGACCGTTGATGATGATGTTGATGCTCACCACCAGTGCCGACACGTTTTGGTGAAAACGTAATCGAGTTATTTGTTTGCGATGTAGTGCTCGGCGTTTGACGTAATATTGGCTTTTGTTGGCTACGCTTGTGGTGGTTGTTGTCCGGTATGTCTTCGTCGACATTAATACCGGAATCATCGGTAGATTGTTGTCCGCGAAATACTGACGACGATATATGCGATTCTTGGCTGTCATTGCTTTGGTTGTGGTTGTGGTTGCTTTTTGTCATCGTTTTTTCTGAATGTTTATTACTATCCCTATCTGTATCCCTATCCTTATATCACTGGATTCATGTGTGTATGTATGTCTAAACTGTGTATCACTATTAATAGTTTAGTTGTAGTTTAGTATACTATACTGTAGATAGTTTTCTCTCTTTCTCTAGTTTTTTGACACTATCTTTCATAACAAATCAATGTCTAAATAAAATAGTTATGACTACTACCACAACAAATACTACTACTACTACTACTACTACAATGTTTAGTCTATTTTATATGAAAACTATTAGAAATAGTTTTTTTTTATTTTCTTCTCCGTCTCTTTTTTCCGTTAGTTTTTTTGTTGGTATCGATAGTATTAGATATTTCTCACAAAGTTATTAGTCGTCTCCGACTATTTATATATATATATACCAATGTGTCATCACTTGTGTGCCGTGTTTTTAACTTAATTACACACACATTATGTTATATAATTTACTGGCAAAAAATGTGTTGTATATAATTTTTTGTTGTTGAATCTAAAAATAATTAAATTATTTTTTTAGTTATTATTGTTGTAGCAAAACATTTAAACAACTACTGTTTTTTTAATGAGATAAATAGATTATAGTATGAATTGAAATTAATACTCTTTATATATATAAATTATATCATATATATATATACATTATAACATATTTACTCTAATATATATAAAATTTATTTTATCTGCAATTTTGATACATAATTTGCTTTTATATGCCATTCCGGTGCTATAATTTGGGAAACACTTGGCTTATATCAAATAAAATGTAACATTAAAATACATATAAAGAGATAAAGATATAAACACTAAATGTACTAAAACCCTATTAATGGTGTTTATGAAATATTTATAGATATATAATATATAAACAGTATAAATGCACACATGATTTAGGTGTATATTTTTACGAAATTATGTATCATTAATACTTTATGAACTATATTATTAAATATATTAACTTATCGTTTAATATACTGTATAAATAAAAGACATTTTGACATTTGCAATAAATAATTTACAAATAAAAAATTTGTTGACAAATAAAAAAACAAATTATGTAACAATAGTCAGTTCTATAATAAAAATAAAATTATGATAATTAAATATTGAWCATATAAATTATAGTATAATAATAAAAATAATATTAGGCAAACATTTTTTAGAGTATATTAAAGCATTATAAACAATAAAAAGATTATAGACTAGTAATTAAATTCAATATAATAAAAGTCATGTTTTATTAAAAATATAATAATTTAATTTGTTAATAATATAATAATTTTGTTTACTGTACTTACATAATATGAATAATAAAATAAAAGTTGATATAATGTATTTAAAAACAGTTTCGACACAATACTGCACTGCAATCACTACACAATCAAAGAAAAAACATTTTTTCAATTAATTTGTTTTAGAAGTAAAATCTAATAACTAATGCACTGTTGGTTATTAAAAAGGACTACCGGTGTGACACAGTGTCGATGAAAATATGTATTTCAAACTAATTTTCAATGAAAAGGTTGGATATATATATATATTAAGAAAAATTGATAGAAATGAAAGCAAAAGATAGCAATTAAAGCTTTACTTCACTGATTCCGTTCACTGACTACCAGTGCTGATGGCAACGGGCAATACTTTCAGAGAACACTGTTAGCAGAGCATTGATATCATAAGCATAGAGCAGAGATACATAAGCAGACAGTACTACTACTACTACTACTACTATACTGTACAACAACAGTGTTAGTCTGTATGAAGAGAAAGCACTTGAAGCGCAACTTCTTTAGCATCCCTTCTCTCTCTCTCTCTCTCTCTCACACACACACACTCACTCACTCACTCACTCACTCACTCACTCACACACACACACACACACACACACACACACACACACACACACACACACACACACACACACACACACACACACACACACACACACACACACACACACACACWCACTCACTCACATACAGTATATTCAGTCCAGTCATTCGTTTTTCATGGCATATACATATTGTTAGGTTAACACAGGGATTATAATGATCCGATCCGTATACTCTACACATATGCACACTCACACACTACCAGTGCGATGAACAGTCACAGAATCACAGAATTTTTCTCTTAAACGAGTTGATTGCCATATGAATGAAAAGTTTATGGCATTTAATCAAAAAGTTTTATCACATATTATTATTATTATTATTATTAAAAGCAATTTAATTATCATTACTTACACAGGCATTATAGCACACATACCATATTATTAAATGTTAAGCTTTGATTAAAATTTTGGTGTGTCTATAATTATATATAGAGAGAGATCATAAAATTAATTGACTGATAAATTTTAACACTTTTATGGACATTAAATTTTTGCTATATATTTAGTATTCATACGATAATAACAGTTTTCAGTACACAAATACAGTAATTAAAGCATACAGTAATTTTTATGATATTATTTATTATACTGTATCTTCAAAAAAAAACAATATAAAATTTAGTTTTCTATTATAACTTAAACAAATAATTTAACCTAAGGTAAATTTTAATAACAAAAAATTTTGTAGTAATTTATATCATTTATATAAATCATAATTATGATGAATCTAAACATTTCTAGATAATATCCTTGTAGTTTATCAACACATTAATTTTTTTCATTTATTATTTTTTAAATAATTGCAAATGTTTTGTATATAAATTTATTTAAATACATAGAAACAGACACACGCTATGAAACAATTAAATTTTTGTAAAAAATTGCACCAAAAAAACAACAAAACAAATTTTTGATAATAAAATTTATAATACACTAATTATGATTACTTTTATTATCATTTATATTTTTCCCTATAGTTTCGGATATTTATTGAATATTTAAAAAAAACCTAAACTACTATATATACAGTATATGTTCACAATGTAATCGATGTCAATGATAACGATGCCTAATGTTTGCACTTTTCTTGTTGTTGTTGTTTTCGGTGGGAACACAGGTTTTCCTATTATTATTAAGTATTATAACACAAATATAAAGTAGAAAACAACAAAAACAAGAAATACGACAAACAATAGCCTCAAAGCATTGATCCAAAAGTACTGATATAATTAGTCTCTCTCTCTCTCTCTCTCTCTCTCTCTCTCTCTCTCTCTCTCTCTCTCTCTTATCGTAAAATGATTTTTATTAATGATCTCTGATTTTCAATACAACAATTAACGCCAAAAGTCAAGAAATGCTAGAATAAAATGCATTTAACTGTTTTATATTCTACTATAGTATATGATATTGATATTTGATATACAGTACAGTTGTATTCACAAAATATCTTTTATTATAATTTTAATAATTATAGACTTGTAATTTAGTATTAGATTTCAATGGTTTGCCWAATTTTTAGGCTTAACTTATATAATTTGAAATAAAATAAAGCAATTATAAAAGAATTATATAAATACGATATTTTTTATCTAATAAKAAAATAAATTGTACTGTTTTGACAGTATTAATTTATTAATACAAATATTAAATATTATTATTACATTGTATAGTATTAAAAATTTGATAAATTAAATAAAAACTTGTTAATATTCACAAGTAATATTTAAATAAATACATTTAATATATGTATTATTTTGAGATATTTAATTTAATTACGTTTTTAATTAAAAAATATTTAGTAACTGTGTGCCAAAAAATGTTCACTCTGTAATAAATTTAATTTTTTTAATTAATGTCAAAATTAATATAGCAAAGTAATAAATTGCATTTTTACACTAATTTCTTTTAGAAATATTTTTTTATGTAAATTTGATTGTTTTGCTTTATTTTAGTTTAGTTTAGTTAAAGATAAATACTAATTGATATTAATAAAAAGATATTAACACAAATTCAAAAATCATAAATTTAAAATTAGTTAAATAAATAAATAAATATTAAAAGTAAGTATTTTTAGTATACCTATCGCATTACAAATATTGTTTTATATACTTCTTATAATAAAAATGCCATAAATTATAATTGTAAACAAATTATGGTTTATTATTATTATAGTGTATATTATATTTCACCAAAAATTGTATTCAAACTTTAAGTTTATTTATTTTTATGTGTAATATGTTTTGCCAATGAGGTCAATGATTTTGTACACTTATTATAGATATTATTAAGATTTAAAAGTTTTTTTGTTGCTTTGCTTATAAAGTGAAAATAATTTGATACTAAATGTGTGTGAAAATCATTATTCTCTCTGTATGTGTATGTTTCACATAGAACTTGATAATAATAATAATAATATTTTTTTTAAAAATTTAGTAAAATAATAATAATAACAATAATAATAATAAGTAAATGTAGAATTTGTTTGGCGGAAAACTATCATAACTTTTGTATTAAACGATTTGGAAAATAATAAAAATGACACAAATATAACACATATTTAAAGACCATTTGGTAATAAAGTATAAAATATTAAAGCAAATGTAACCAAATAGTCAAAATTGGGAGAAAAATATTTTATATGAAATATATAGGATTTTGTTGGATAAAAATATACTGTATATTATATATATACAGTATATAATTCAAGAATAGTCACTCAAATATTTATTTTAGCTTTTAATCAGTCAATCGTATGTTATGACTGATTGGCAGCGATAGAAAAAAATATAACATTTTATTTGTATATCAATATAATATTTTTTTGGGTGATATATTTAAATATTCAATATATTGTGAGAAAAAAATGTTAGTAGTATTGTAGATATCTATAAAATGTTGTGAATCTATATACGGTTTTACTTTATATGTAATATATATTATTTATATTTTAAAACACATTTATTCATACGCTTTTATGCTACAGTTTTAAAAAGTTTAGACCCAAAAAAATTGATATATAATTTTTTGACAAACACTAAAAGATCAATAATCAATCTCTAAGTCTCTATTTTATTTTATTTTTTGGTTTCCGCGTTTAGATTCATAAAAATTTCCTTCAAAATAAAACATCTTTCATCTAATAGTTGTGTATATGTATGTGTGTATTGTATATGTATTTTTTAAAAAAATAGTTTATAATAATACAGATATTAAGCAAAAGGATTTCCGCAAAATGAAATTCTTTAAAGAATTTTAGAGAATTTTACGATTGGGAGACAAAAATAAGAGAAATTCTTTAAACAATATTTTTGTTTAAAAAAGTTTTTGATAGTTTAGTAAATAACAATATATTTGAAGTGAAAATGAAAATAATTTCTATTATTATAGCAAATAAAAATATTTTTACCATTTATTTGACATAATTTTTAATATATCTTTTTTTTGTTAAACAAAATATGTAAACTTTATAAAACATTAATTTTATATATTTTTTTATTAATGATATTTTTATTTATACTATTATTTATCATTCAAAGTTTTGTAATTTATTAAGTGATACTCTTCAGTATGTATTAATATTTTATGTATTGTATTATTATTATTGACTGAATAGTAGCGACACTTATGATGTCTATGCTATAACTGTTTATCAATTGATTATTTATATAATAAATATTATAAGAATATGAAATTTCTAAATAATATATATATATATTATTTACAGTATATACTGCATATAATAATAATAATAATATTACACAATAATTACTATTGACATATGATTTTGCATTTTTGTTATTGAATTAAGAATTTCATTATAACATATAAAAATTAATAATTAAAATAAATTATAATGCATGTGATAATTAGATATTAAAATATAAAGAATTTTTTATTAATCAAAAACAATTGAATAATGCATTTTATACATATTTCTAAACTATTAAAAATAAATAAATAACTACATAATAATAATAACAAAAACAATTAATATATCATAAACATGTACATCACTATCAATTAGGTTTTATGTATACAAATAAGACAAATTAATAAAAACTAGTAATTAAAGTATATATATAAAATTAGTAAATATAATAGTTTTTTTTATAATTGTAAATTATTAGATATTATTTTTTATCACTCAAGTTTTAATTAACTCTATGGTATATATTTAATAATTTATGATAAGAGAAGAGTGGGTGAGTGAGTAAGTGAGTGAGTGAATGAATGAGTGGGTGAAGAGAGAGAGAAAGAAAGAGAGAGAGAGAGAGAGAGAGAGAGAGAGAGAGAGAGAGAGAGAGAGAGATAAGAAGATTGTTGATTATTATTATTATTTTTATTGAATGTAAGGGTTTCAATGATAATAAACATTTAATACTCTATAAAACAATTGCAATGATGCTCTCCATTGATATTTGAAGTTATTTTATATTTATATCACATGAGTTGCCAAGTGATGACATAATCAAAAAAAAAGATATATATTATATTACTGTTTGTATAAAGTTTTTTAATTCTAACGATAAATAAAACATTGTTATAAATATGTTTTATATAAATTAAATTATACGTTAGTTCTTTTATAAACTAAACTTATTGTTAAACCTAAAATAAATATATTTTTGTTAATCTATTTATGACATGATATGTAGTTAATAATTAGTACACTAAATGATGAAAATGTTTAGATCTGCAAAGTTTTCTATTATTATGTATTATGTGATAAATTGTTGTCTAATTGAGCTAATCAGCTGCCAACCAATGAATGACTTTACCATCGATGACAACCAAACTGTCCAACAATACGATATGGACATCAAAAAATTGTTGGCTAATTTAACTGAACTCGAGTTCAAACAAATCAATTTTGATAAACTTTTTAACTCAACTAATGGTTTGTATATATTCTATAAAATAAATTTAAAAAATTATAATAAAATATTTTTTAGTAGTATATAAAAATATAATAATAACTTTGTTTATTAGTTTAGTTTTACTAAAAAAATAAATTAAAAAATTATTAATAAATTTTAATTCTAATATTTACTATAGCAATATAAAAATAAATTTTTTTACAATAGTTAACATTTGTGATTCAATTGACTGCAACGCCAACATTGCATTTTGTGAGCTCAACCACTGTCCAGGTCTTGGTAAGTGTTTTTTTTTGTCGTAAAATTTCCGGTAATATTTGGGATAATTTGTTTTCCTAACAATTTTATTATATATTTTCCCCAAAAGACAAAGCCCAAAATCTACATTACGTGATTACCTGTCTTATAGTTGCCGGTGTAGCCGTCCTATTGTTGGCCACACTGTACGCGTGTCATAAAGAAAACAAACGATCGTAAGTCTTAATATAAATATGATTATTATTATATCAATCAATCAATCATTTAAATTAATATTAATTATATATTTATTTTTATTAATTGTGTGAAGAGAGCATTGGCGCAATGCATTCAACAGAAGTGAAGATCATGTAATGGCCTTAAGATTATTGCAGACAATCACTCAGAATAGGATACCACCAGTTAATCCCAATAATATGCATCAAGAGATGATGCCATTGACTACTTCGAGGACATCTGGTATTCCTCCTGTACCTCCACCGCCGCCATATGACTATCGATATACACCACCGCCAGACTATCAGTTCACACGGCATCAGTCAACACAAACTGTTTGAACATTACATCCATTATTTGAAATTGAATCAATCATTTTGTTTAAAAATATAGATAATTATAACCATTTATTATTTTACTATATTATACATACATTAAATACATTGACATAAAAAATAAATATAAATAACATTTTAAGAATAAATATTAACAATTAAGAGAATTTTTTAAAAACACTTTTTCGCACAAAAAAATTAATCCCAACCGTCATCTCCACCATTGCTGGCGGCTGCAGGAGCTGCGGGAGAAGGTCCAGTAGCACCACTAGAAGCGCTAGTTCCCCATGAATCACCTCCTGAAGTTCCCCAACTGTCGCCACCACCAGAACTTGCGCCATACGAATCACCTCCGTGTCCTCCGCCACCACCACCTCCACGACCACCGCGACCACGTCTGAAATTTAAACAACAAAACTTTACCAACAAATTTGATATTTATCAAAAAATAATGTTACCCTCTTGAAGACCTGGGTTGGGTACAATCGCGCGATATATGACCCTCTCCTTGACAATTGAAGCATTTATTGCCCCCTCCTTTGGGACACTCGCGTGACATATGTCCCTCTTCACCACACTTGAAACACGAGCGACCACCACCTCCGCCATTCTTTTTTGGTTTAGGACACTCGCGAGACATATGCCCATCATCGCCACAATTGAAACATGCGCGACCACCACCACCACCCCCACCACCGCGTCCGCGCCCTCGACCACGAGAGCTGGAATCTCCGCCACCAAATGAGTCGGCACCCCAACCGTCACTCGAAGATGTGGTAGTAGATCCCCAGCCATTAGAAGTAGAGTTGTCATCAGTACGCAGTCGTTTGTTGCCTTTGTCGCCATTGCTGTCCACAAACTTTATGACAGATATGAGTTCAGTATTAACTTTGCGACCGTCCTCTTGAAGTGCCGTTTCGCTATCAATGGGATTATCGAAACTAACATAACAGTTAACTGTATTGTCTTTCAATTCTATCAACAAAAAACAAATTTGATTTTTTAACTTTTTTTTAACAATTTTAATATAAAATTTAATTTAAATACTTACTATAAATAAGGGCCGCTTTGTCTAACTGACCGTATTTTGTAAACATTGTGGTCAAGTCATCAACAGTAGTGTTTATCGGCATTTTCATGATTTCCAATTGCCATCCGGATGTGGGAACTACTATACCATTAAATGCATTGCTTGAAGTGACAGTATTTTTAAGAGCCGTTGCTTTGGCGGCACAGGCATCGGTAGGTTCTGTATCCCAAAAAGCCATTATTATTATTATTACCAAATGATATCTTTTAAAGTGAATTTTAAAATATATATATATATATATATATATATATATATTTAAAAAATATATGATAAAAAATAGATAATTTTAATATAAAAAACTTGAATTAAAAATTATTGGCAATAATAATAAAAAAAAGTGAAGAGCGCTAAACAAGGACTACAAGTGATAGTTAATTGCATTGTGTGTCAGCTTTTATAGACAATATTTTTTTTGTAGATTAAAACTATTCAAATGTTAGTTGAATTATGGAAATTAGTAATAAAATTGTATTAAAAGTTAGTAGATATGAAAAGTTGTTAACTTTTTATATTTTGTATGGAGAGTTATTTGGAAATAATTGTAAAATTTAGTAATTAGAAATTTAACTTTAGATTATAACTAATTATTAGGATTACAAATGCCTATTAAGTTATTTAAAAAAAATTAATATTGACTATTTTATAGTTAAAAGTGAACTTATAGAATATTAATAATATATTTATAATTTTGTTTACCAAGAGTAAATACTAAAATAATTTTAACTAACTAATCAAAAGTGTAAAAATTAATTTATTGATACACTTGAATACAAAACTTCAAACAGATGAATTTATTATTAAAAAAAATTAATTAAAAAATTTGTTTATTGCAAATAAACTTTATACATTATAAATACAGAGGCAATATAACAATTACATTAAACATATAAAATCTTCAATTTATATATATTTTATGTTAATGTTTACAATAAATCTTCAAAATAAACAAATAGCCAGCAAGTTTAAATCAATGTGTTTATAATTTGATCGGCTCATTTAACATAACAAATTATCATGAATTTTAATTAAAAACGCTATTGTAAACAATTTTCTCATTAATTATAATAATTAACAATTTATTATTGTTTGACATTTCAGATAACAATTGTTTGCTGGGATGAAGTGATAAAATATGTTTTTTTAATGTGTATTATTTGTTTCTGTTAAACATCTATTAATTACATATACAGTACAGTATATATATATCAATAAATACATATATATATAAAATAATATATTTTATTTTATCAATAAAAATGTGTATTTAGTATTTTTGGTTGTTTGTATGTTTGTTTCAATGATTAACAATAATTGATTTTATATAACAAATATAATATAAATCAAATCACACTTAGTTTTTAAAATAATATATTGAAACAATACATAAAATTATAAACAGTTTTTCAAACTGATCAAGGTAACATCAATATAATAAATTTATGGGTTATTACTATCGTAAGCATCACTTTATTTTATTTTTTATCCTAAAATTGAACTTTTTTGAGCCAATTATATACTGTTTATAGTCATTGACTTTATATTATTTTATTATTCATTCAATAATTGTTAATTTATTAAACTAACATAATTAAATGTCAATTTAAACACAATTAAAATATAAGATTATTAAAAAACAACATAATAGTGTATTATATAATTATTATATAAAAATGTGTTATTATATTGAATAATATTATTCAAATATTTGTGTAGAAACTATTTCATAATTATGTAAATTGTTTTTATTTAGTTTAAATGTTAATATAAATGTAACAATAATAACAAAACAAAAAAATTAATTTTCATATTTTAGTAAAAAAATTAATGATAAAACACTGATTTGTGAGATTCAACAACAAAAAAATTGCTCAAAAAAGTAAATAACTTTAAAAAATTGTATAATAATTTATAAGACATTTCTTTTAGACATTAATACTGTCTTCCTCTTCATTGATGTCCTCGTCTTCTTCGGTAATCTTTTCGCGAAGCATTTTCGCCGAATGAGTCATTTGGTCGCCACAATTGGGACACGATTTTGGCGATTGTGGACAACAACTGATAATATCGGATGTGTTTTCCTCTTCAATGACACCGTTAGTAATGTCCGATTTGGACGAACCGTTGGCCGTAATACCGGCAAACGAGGCTCGTCTCTGTCTAGCCGTCAAAAATTTTTGACCATAATTTTTCTGCAATGGATTTGTGCTGACTTTATATCTATTGTCAATCATTATCTTAGACAGCGGACAGTTGTCTTCGTGAACGTCGCCACCATTCAAGACAAACGATCGCTTTTGGTCTTCTTTGCGCTTTCTTATGATGGCTTTGGCCTCTTCGGACATGTCGTTCAAATTGTTCTCAAACTCACTTAACATTAGATACTTATCTTCTCTATTGCACGAAGTAAGACACTCGTCGAGTATGGTATCCTCCAATAGATTATCCAATACTATTTCCTCGGATATACAGGTAAGTTCACCATTGATGGGTCCGCCTAATGTTGAACTGAATATCGAATTGGAACGGGAGGTACGGTTATTGTTGGAGTTAATGATGTGATTGTTGTTATTATTGTTGTTTTGGTTGTTGCGAACCAAATCCATATGGTTTACAGCTATCGAGTTAAATGTGTTCATATCGTTGACGCGGGTATTGCCGGTAAATCGGTTATAATTGACATCAAAAGTATCGTTCGGTGCCCGAAGTGCCGGCAAGTATTGATGCAAATCCATGGATGGCTCGTGTGAACACCGACGGGACACGACATCGTTGGCCATCTCTGTGCCGCTAACACTACTGATCTTTCGTTTCTTTGCCACTCGTTTTTTGTGGGCATCGATGAAGAATAGTACCAATGAGCCCAACGCTATGCACAGGGAGGACATGTAGTAACCGCTACGATCACCAAAGTGGTCGTTCAGGAATGCTATTCATAAATATTTAAAAATCAAATTTCATGACTTATAATGATTGATATAATTATTAATATATTTATTTTGTTTATTAATATTATATAATATATTATAAATGTTATTTATGCTATATATACAGTATATTTTTAATTAAATTGTTATTTTGTATTTATTTTATTTTTTCATACTATAATAAATTGTTTTATATATTAATTTATTGTATTATAACTTATTATATTATTTTTTTGTTAATATTATTTGAAATATTAATAAATTTTATTCCTTTTTTAAAAAATACAATTGCATTGACTCAACAAAATAATATATTACTATCATGATAAAATATTTTATATCAATTTATCATAAAAAACATTTATACATAATATCATAAAAATAGTATATAATATAAAATTTTATCGGTTTGTTTTCTGAGTAAAATTTATTTGTATATAAAAATTGTAACCAATTCTAATAATAGAAAATAAATATTGATTTCAAATGTCGAACATTGTTTTTATCGATATATTTTTTAAAAATGTTTTCTTCAAAACATACTTATAAAAAATCATCTAAAATAAAACATTAAAACATTAAACTCAAGGATATCATAATTTGTTATTTTTTATGAATTGAGTTAAGATTTGCGGAAATATTAAGTTAATAAAAATTCCTTAAATTAATAACTCCACAATAACAAAAAAGTTATTTATTAATTTTTTTTGACAAAAATTGCAAACCTGATATGGGAATGCCTACAATGGTTGGTATAGATTGGCAAAACTGGACGTAACCCCAGGCCCGATTGAAATTGCGAGCCCTGACCTTCTCATAGATGAACATTTTCAACGAGTACTGATACCCCCCATAGAAAAATCCATAAATCCATACAAACAATACATAACCGGAATAGTCGTCCAGTGTTGTAAAGGTCAGTAGTGTTGCGCTCAGCATAAAACACGAGGCCTGGCATAAGTACTGGCGGGCAATCATACACTCGACCGAGTTTTTCACAATAATGGCACCAATAGCTGTACTGCCCAACGCCATACCTATTCCCATAAACGCCTGCAATGCCATCAATGAGTTGTGTTCAATGTTTTCAACTGATCCCTGTTGTGTCTGCAAATATATATATAGGAAATCAATGGTTGAACGGATACACAAAGAAAATAAATAATTATTTCTTGTTTTTATTTTTTTATTGATAGTTTTGTCGGTCAGTGTAGTCTAACCATTAATATTAGAGGTGTTGTTGTACCAAATGATGAGATACAAGTGCCACAAATCAATATCTGAATCGTACGCGACTTGAGTACCGAAAAGTCAAAATAGGGCGGTTTGTCGAGTGATGATCCCATATGAATACCATTTGGCGCCAGACTTTGTTTTTGTGAGTTTGAGTGATGACCCTTCAGTTTGTCTTTAATTCTCGATCGCTTCTGAAGGCTCTTCAGGTGAAGTATAGCCCGTCTCTGCGGATGGTATAGTGAGGCCGGTCGGTAGAGAACCGCCAGAAAAAATGTCATAAATGTTATCAATGCCAGTGCTTGGAAACCGAACCGCCAGTTTTTTGATCTAATATAAGTTTCATATTAAAACAAAACAAATTTTAATAAATATATTTTTTAAACTATACAAACCTAATACAAAATGTAAGAAATAATGGCATAAAAGCGATTCCCAGTCCAGAGCTGGCGATGACAAACAACTCGACAAATTCGCGCTTCTTTTTAAAGTACTGTCCAATCATAATGACGGCCGTCTCGCGTATCATCGATACGCCGATACCGACAATTACTCCGTAACTGACAAACAGCTGATGAAATTGTGTGGCAAATGATGTGAAAAGGCATCCCAAGGCTGTTATCAGACCACCCAATATGGCAATCAAACGGATCGATTTGCGCCGACAGATCGCAATGACCACCGGCGAGAGGAACAGTGTTATCGATGTGGACAGACATCCGATTAGTACTACAATTGATAATATAAATCAAAATGATATTATTTCTAATAATAATAATTATTATTTTTTATTATAGCTCAATGTTGAATAATTTTAGTAAAACTAATGTACAAAATTGTTTGTAAACTTTTTGTATTTATTTATTATTTTTTATTCATAAAGAATTTTTATGAATAGAAAAAATAAAATGAATTCAAAAATTCTTTAAAAATATGAATATTTCTATTTTAAAAAGATATACAAAAAAAATATTCTGCTTAGAAAATCAAATAATGATTAATATTAAAAATAATAAATTATATTTTCTATTGTGATATGATTTACATTATTTATAATAATTCTTACAAAATATAAAATAATAAAAATAAACATTAACCTAACCTATGATAAAGTAAAATTTAATATACAATATATCAAACAATCATTTTGTAAACAAAATAAATATTTTATAAAAAAAATATTAAATCTACTTAATTATCTATCTTTAAATACATTACTATTTATAATACTGTATATAGTTTATTAAAAAAAACTTATATGAAATATTGTATATAAAAACATAATAAAATTTGTTTAGCAAATGATAGATTATCACATAATATTAATGGACATACAATTGCTATCTCTTGTTAGTTTTGATGATAAATTACAAATATATTTATAATAAAATCAATAATCAATATTATTATGGATTTGATTATATGGTAGATATTATATTATTCATATGAGCTTGCCAAATTATGTTTGACAAACATTTTTTTTAATTTATCAGTCATTTATAAAAAAATAAACAGTTTTTTTTATTAGATTCACTACAAAAAAAATTACTACAAAAAATTTAATCAATTTGTTTCTTGGCTTAAGTTAGTACAATAGTATCACAATAAAGATTGTAAATTTTTTCAATCAAAACGACATTTTTTTGATACCCTAAATATATATCAATTATATAAAAAAGTTTTTAAAAACAGCAACAATTCAAAATCTATATCAAATTTTAATTTTTTATACATAATAATAAAATGTGAACTATTTTTAAAAATAAATAATTTTTTATATAATTTATCTAAATTTAAAAAACTATATTTAAAATGATCTAATTTATTTTTACAGAATAATTCTATTGAATAGTTTGAATATTAAGTATAGTTGAAAAATACATTTGAAAAATATAAAATTTACAATAATTGGTGTCTTTTTTTGTTTTGTTTTGAATTATAGTTTCCGACAGAATTGTCAAAAAGTTGTCAAAAAAGCCAATTCAATGACAGCTGTATTGATATTTTCTATCCGTTCAATGATTATGCTTTGCGATATGTTTTATATTTATATTATATATAAAATCATAGTTTGCTTTACTCACTAACTGACAGAGAAAGAGAGAGAGAGAGAGAGAGAGAGAGAGAGAGAGAGAGAGAGAGAGAGAGAGAGAGAGATCCTTATAATCTAAGATATCAACAATTTATAAAGTTTACAATTGAAAACATGCACTCAATATTTGTATACATAATAAATGAAGTTTTCATTGAAATCAATTTAATCATTTTGAGATATATGTTTTTATCAACTCGATTCCTATCAATACAATTAATAAATTATTCAAAAGAAATAAATAAATAAATATATAAGTAAATAAAAACAAATTTATATAATGGTATCTAAATATATATTTGTCAATAATAAAAACAACAACAAATAACATAATATATTAGCAATATATGCCATGAATAAAAAAATAGCAATAAATTAACTAACAAACAAATAAAATTTATTCACTACAAATAGAGTTACAATTTTGTTATTTATTGTACCAAAAAAAACGTGATAACTTATTGACAAATTTGAAACCACATTACAATATGTAAACACATATAAGATTCAGTTTACTAAAAGAATATTCTGTATATTTTTTGAAATATTTAAGCATTAGTTTAATGGTTTGTATGAATAACTTTAGTTGTTTTTCGTGATGATAATAATATAAAAGCAAATTAACTTCAAGTAATAGATTAAATGGTCAAATCAAATGTTAGCCATATTATAGTTAATCATCTATTACTGTGTGTGTGTCTGTCTATGTGTTACAAAAATGATTAATTAAAACTACTATAACATAAATAATAGTATTAATAATAAAATTGTATATAAAGTTATTTAAGAAAAAATATAAGTATAAACATTTCCCTAACAATAAATCAATTGATTATTTTTATTTCCCAAACATTTATATTATATATATTTTATGTGATTTGTATTCTTATAACTGTTATTACTGTATTATTATTATACTAGAAAAATATTAACCATTAATTTTATTTCTAATTTTAACAATGACATTTTTTGTATTATATTATTATTATTATTATATTATATATAATATCGTATATTTATAATATTAAAGTAATAAAATATTTGAAATAATGAGATATAAATAAACTTTAAATTAATATTTAAATTTGAATTTGAAATACTGTATTAAGTATTAGATATTTAAAAGTTGATTTAAATTTTTTATGATAACAAAATGTAAGTCAATTAATCATTAAAATTTAATAAAAATAATCTAAATAATTAATTTATGATATATTTAATTATTATAAATATATAAATTATTATAATTGTTTTATAATTTTAAAGTTAGTCATGTCATAGTTATGTAAATAAAAAAATAGTTTAATTGTCTGTAACAAATATAATTAAAGATAAAAACATTAATTATTACATTAAATAGTCAATTAATAATTAAAATAATTTCGACATAATTTAACAATTATAATAAATGTCTGAACAAAAATCATTTTCTTATTATAAGTTATTTATTTATTTATTTGTTTTTATAGTTATTTTATTTTTTATAATTTCTCAACGCTTGAGTTGATAAAAGCTTTGGGGTATTATTGCTTGCAAACTAAATACATATTTATTATTATTTATAAACATTATTATTATTACATTTGTTTTATAAAAATGATTGTAAGAAAAACCATAATATATTTTCTAATTTAATATTTATAATTGATTATAATAAACAACAAGTTTTAAAGGTAATAATTGTAATTTAAAAAATATATATTAATTAAAAAAATATATTTTTAGACAAACATATATTTATATCTGTTTGATCAAAATGTTTACCAATCATATACTGTATATTCAATTGACATTTTAATTTTAACTATATTTTAATAGTTTAATATAGTTTATTGATATGCATGTCTCATTCATAGCTGTCATTGACATAAATATATATAACAACACTTAAAAACTTTGTGATAAATAATAATTAAATTTATAATTAGAGTGCACTTATCGACCATTCAGTTTCTTTAAATAATAATTATAATATGATTTTATATAAGATTTTAATTGTAATAGTTTTACTATAAAGAATCAGTTAGAAAAAAACTGTCAATTGATTTATGTGTCATCAGATATGACCAAAAATACTTAAAACTACTACAAATTTATTGATAAAGTAATATATACAGTATATAGTACAGTATAAAATGTTTAGCATTTATAACAATATATATTTAAGGGCAATGTCATACTCATTAAACATGCGATTATTATAACATAAGTGAAGTGAGTGAGAGAGAGAGAGAGAGAGCGCATATAAATTATATGATATAATAGATATGTATTCAAACTTTACAGTAGAAAAACTAATTGCCGGAGCATTTAGTTGAGTGAACTTTTCATGCAATCATTTTTGGCTAAAACATTGTTTCGTTGTCTTTCAAAAGTGCAAACTTTTTTGGCATATTATCAAACAATAATATCTATCTCTTAGTCGGTATTAGACATTGACTTTGATGACAACAATCTATTATACAGTACAACCAGTAAACTATTTTAATGGATTTGAATTTTTAAAAATATTTTTCAATAATCATTTTATGCCATAAAATATCTGGTAATTCAAATCATATGTTACTCTTTCATGTTATTTGTTGAAAAAATCAGATAACATAATCATACAAAAAAAAACGACAAAACATACAATGATATTATAATTTAGTGTGTGATGTATTACTACCATTTGCAGTCAAATAGATTTCATGTAATTTCATGTATTTATCAATAAAATAAAAAAAAATAATTTATACAAATAAATTACATAACATATAAAATCAAATATATAAAAAACGCAAAATAAAATTTAATATAAATCATTGATAATAATTTTTTCGTTAACAATAAAACTAAACTAATGTCTCAATTAAAAAAAACTCATGGAGATTAATATGTTATTATTAAGTGCTTAAAGCGTTATTATATAAATATAATTTTTATACAAAATATAAATTTATATATAATTTATAAAATAAAATTTATGCTCCCATTGCACAAATTATGATTAGTGCAGCATAAAAATTATATATGTATTTAAAAATTTTTGTACTATTTTTTAGATATCTTGTTTAATAATATTTTTATGTTACTAAACATAAATTCAATGAATTTTTATAATAAAAATAAATTAAAGTCAATATAAAGTTATTTATTTGTTGATATCGACTATGTATTAAATTTTTTATTATTGTTTTATTTATATTTTTCTTTTAGTTTATATTTATTTTCTATTGGAATCCTATCATAAATAAAGAGTAGACATTCAATGTGTGTTTGTGACTGTATTTTTAGTTTACATTGAGATTTATAACAACTATTAACTGTTATATTAAGTTATATATGTTTGGTTGCAAATTAAATAAAATCAAATTTAATTAAAAATATTTTTTTTGTTAATGTTATTGTTGTTGTCATAAATTTTCGTTAAATGCCAAAAGCCACAGCTTTTATATTAAAAATATTATATTTATATACAGAAAAAAACTCATTACATAACCCCACAAATTAGAGACAAATTCATATTAATTTTATGACATGATATTGTAATTCGTATCTAAAATATATATTTTAACAAAAAAAAAATTTTTATTATCAAATGAGAAAATAAATTTTCCAAATTATCAAACTTTTATTAGTGTAATGCCATAATATTTATCATATAAATGGATATAAATATGTGTTTGAAATGTATTTTTGTTTTTTTAAGTTCTCATCGAATTTTACTAAATACTATATATTTTTTTTGTATTGTAGTTCAATAGTAATAAGTTATCACTGATAAGCAATATATTAAAACTATTTGGTTGATATCAAAATTATACTAAATTTATTTAATATTGTACATGAGTTAGTGAGTGGAGAGATAGAAAGATAAATAGATATATATATATATATATAGAGAGAGAGAGAGAGAGAGAGAGAGAGTACTTATAATATAAAAATATAAATATTTTCACTTTACTCTAAAAATATTTGAGAGTCACTCAAAATAAATACAGTAATATTGAAATATTATAAAATATATGACATAAAAATATATAATACTTGAAATAAAAATTTCCAACGCTTTAAGTAAGATTATAGTCTAAAAAATAAATATTGAAAACATAAATTTGCAATTATGTTACTTTAATTACAAAAAAATATAAATAATTTAAACTCAATTTTGTTAAATTAATTAGTTTTTAGTTTGTTTTGTTATAATTTGGTTTAATTTATATTATTTTTATACTATAATTGACTGAAAAAAAACGATGAGAAGTTTCTATTAGTTTCTACTGTATATAAATAATAATGTTTTTATTTTTTAAAAAAACATATAAAATTTTAGCTGAAAATTGATTTTATAAATCGATTAATTGAGGTTATAGTATTTCATGGATTTAACTTTAATATTTTTTTAAATACAATTTCTATATATACAATATATAGTATTTATCTTTTATTTTTGTTAAATATAATAATAATTGAAAATAAAAAGCTTTTATACTTTTATATTTACAATTTTGTGAAAAAATGAAATCTTTTTATGTTTTAAAAAATTAATTTAATTTAATTCACAAAAAAACTTATGTTTTTTAATGTTATGAAAATAGTATTTATAAAACCATATATAGTATTAATAATTCACTTTAAATTTTAAAATATAACAAATAATATATAATTAAATTTTATTTGCCTTAAGTTTGTTATTTTTTAAAAACTAAATAATAGTGTTTTGATTACTTTCAAAATAAATTCAACCATAAAAATGAAAAACAATTCAATTATATTATAATTTTAAATATTTTACTAAATAGAAATATTATTAAAGTAACACTTTTAGATCATAATAACATTATTAATAATAATAATGTAGAAAAAGTAATGTAAGTTATATTTGTAAACGAAAAAATATTCATGAGTTTCAAAAAAAAAAAAATAAACAATAAATAACTTCTGAAAATATAATTGATGTGATTTTTAAGTTATATATTTTTGCGTCAAACAAACAACATAACTATAAGTCATAAACAACAACAACAACAACAATAAAAAATAACATTATATTAATAAACTGTATATTTCTTAGTAAATATACTTAAATATCCAGTAAATTGATGACAATTTACTGGCTTATACACTGCTGATGTCAACATGTTTATCGCCAAAAATAGTATTGTAAATTATTATTATATGATATTTTATAAGATACACATTATTGTATATCATATTGTATTATATATTTTTATATAAACTTTATGTAATTTATATAACATTTCTATATTGTTTTCAAATAAAATTATAAAAAATAGAGAGAAAAAGAGTCGCCAAAAAATGATTTTTTCGCAATTCATTACATGAATTGAATACTAAAATTTAAGAGTTATTAGTTGTTTTTCTTCCGGTTTTTTACGATTGATATGAGAAATAGAGATTTTATATGGCATTGAAATGTCATCAAAAAGACAGACAATATATATGTGTGTGTCTGTGACATACCTGCGCTGAAGATGCCGTCTTCAGTAGGGAACTGTCTGAGTATATCGATAATTATGAAACCGGAAGCCGGCGTCAGTGCTGACGTAAAAATCATGGCTAAGCAGACACATGTGGTCAATATCCAGCCCCAGTGTCCCTCAGGATAATAATGTTGATGAATAGTGACAGCTTTGGGGTCGTCCGGCGATAGTGGCGTATTGAGTCCCGGTATTTCACCGTTGGGCACACCGTTTTCTGGTCGCCCGATATGTATGCCAGACAACTGTCCCCATTGATTATTCCACAACTTTTTGTGGTGGGATTGATTGACTGCACTGTCACTCAGACACCTATCCATCAGAGTTCGATTGCTTTTCACTAATGTATAGGCATTGGATGAAAAATATGGTGACTTTGGATCAGTTGAAATGGTCGATTTGGATCGGAATTGTCGCCGATTGTATGGAACAGTAACACCGGACTCACCTTTGATGATACCGTTATGATGTGTAAATGGATTGTTTGTCCTCCCATTTACGTCGTAACCGTTACCAGTGTTTGCAGTGGTCAACGAAAATATATTGGATTTTTTGCTTTTATATGGCAGACCTGTTATAGTTGCCGTCGGCATAGTACTGGCCACACACGACTTGGCCGCTATTGGTCTGTACAGCGGTCGATGTGAGGCCAACCGTTCGGTTTCTTCGTCTTCATTTGATGAACAACTGGTCGACGGAACAGATGGTTGAGACGACAGTATTGGCGATGAAATGTATTTTGATATCATTTGATTGTTTTTTTAAACAAAAAAGTGATCTTTCAGTGATAATAGTTGTTATTAATTGATATATTTTTTTGAAAAGTTAGCACAAATTAGTTGATAAAACATTTTGTTTTTTTGTTGACAACTAGTTATAACTGATTTTCAAATTTCGTTTTTTTCGACAATCAATTTATATCCTACTTAGTTGACCACTCAGTTGATAACACATTTATAAGTAATGAAATTTATAAATTTATATATAAAACTCTATATATTTAACAAGCAATATGTGTGTCAATAGTAAAACTATAAAACTTAATAATAAATTAAATATCAAATCAAATCATTGATAATAATAAAAAGTAAGACATTTTCGCCGATACTTCGTTTATATAGATAAAGTGTAGATAAAAAAAGATTTTCAATCAAATATTAGATTTCAAAATACTTTTATATTTGATATATAGAAATATAATTTATATATATATATTAAATACATTGCTTTATGAAAGAGTCAGTGTATTAACGTTTTCAATATACTGTATATATTTAAAAAAGAGAAAAACACGGAAAATAGGTCTCTCATTAGGGAAACGGCAGTCAAGTCGAGAGGCTATTAGGAAATGTTGTGAACGGGAGAGATGTTTATGAGATGTCAGTAGAAGTTAGAGTGAAAAAGTAGTCGTAGGAGTAGTTGGGAGTTCAGTCAGCAATTGTCACAAATATACAGCAATATATACGATATATAGCAATCACAGCATCCCTGAGCACTACTGGTACTCTCAATCTCCCAGTTAGTTACCACAACTTCTACGATTAGATGACAGTAGACTCTTGAGCTAAGAGTGGAGAAGCACTGCTTCTGTATGTGTTGTTTTGGTGGTATGGGTTCGTTCACTTGTATAAGCTTTTTGGATATACAGTACAATTATACGATATATCTCTATCAATCTATGGCACTATTATCTTCACATCAATAACAATACATCTGTTATATCTTATGATATATATATTTACAGTATATCTCTAGTTTAACAATACTTTATTGGATTAGTTTTTAGCCAATAAAACTAATCAATGATTAAATTGAAACATATTTTTATTCAATAACTTTTGTATTGTTATAACTTATTGGTTACTCTCCTATCAATGTCTTTAATACAATTCACTTGTTTTTTCATTGTATATATAGATAACAATTTTCACACAATAATTCATAAATAATAACTACAATAAAAAATATATTATAAACAAAAAAAATATCAATTATTTTTCTCTATTTTTTAAAATTTTCAATAAAATGTTTTTTTTAATTACATTAGAGTATATAAGTTACACAATTAACATTGAAAACTTTTTTTACTAATACTAAATTGAAGACACTTTGGATGACACCCAAAGCATATACAATAATATCAATTGAGAGACAAAATATGTTATTAAAAATTTAATTTAAAAATCGATATGAAATAACAACAACAATAATAATCATAAACTTTAATAACAAAACTCATCAAAACAGTTATAAACTTTTAAAGACTCTCTATTTTTTAGAAAACAATAATAAAAACATCACTTTTAAAAAAATAAATAAAAACGTTTTGAAACTAAATTAACGTCGATATACCAGTAAATACACACAAATATCCAGACTAAGTAAGAGACTTAAAAACATATATATATATATTAAAGTCAACCGATTCATTGAATCGAGAAAATAACTAACTATGCCTTTCGTTAAAAATGGTTTGACGACACCATATGCCGTGCGATTGGGAAGGACAGTGTCATATACACGATGTGTGGCACGAGTAGGCCGTCCGTCAAACAATAACAACAACAAAGTTAAAAACTGATTTCACAATTTTGTTGACTTTGCCACCGATTTATCTCATAAGCGATGATGTGTTAAGACTCAAAATTGAGTGGAAGTCAGCTCTCAATAAGCAAACAGATGAATGGTTAATGAATGGCACAGGGAGTGTGTGTATGTGTGTGTGTGTGTGTGTGTGTGTGTGTGTGTGTGTGTGTGTGTGTGTGTGTGTGTGTGTGTGTGTGTGTGTGTGTGTGTGTGTGTGTGTGTGTGTGTGTGTGTGTGTGAGCTATTTAGTCAAACATACATAATTGGAGCAGAAGTTAATTTTCAAATATATATCTCTTTTTTTGTTATTTTAATATTAAATTAATATCATTAGTCTTATAATTAATATGACATATAACATACCGTTTTAATTATGCACCACTTTATATATTTTTAATATATTTATATATGTGTGACATAGAGCTAACACACGCCATACGGTAGACATACAGTGGTATTACCGTAGGGTATGTCCATAGCTTAAAAAAAGTTAGGCATCACTTGTGAAATAATGATTGACTTTAACCATACGGTTCAATGAATTTTCAAGAAGTGATTCGCTTTTATGAACACAAAGAGTATGCCTTTCCTCTCTTTCTCTCTCGACTTCCAATTATGTAAGGCTTATACACCTATTAAATCCAAACCATTTAGTTTTTATGCCTCACATCATAGCCATCCCTTTTTCGTGTATTAATTAAACAAATCATTACATTACATAACCTTTTTAAAAATATAATTCAAACTTAATATTTAGTATTTTATTCAAATATATAGTTTTAAAACAAATAATAAAAATATCATTACTTATAGTAAATTATGGTTATATTAATAATTTATAGTCAATATTAATCATAATCAATTAATCGGTTATTTGTGAAATAATTTTTATTTTGTTCAATAAGTCATCAATAATATATAAATTATTGTTCAATAACTGTTGAAACCATTATCTAAATCGTTCAATGGTTAATAAATACAATTAGGTTTTAATTAAATTATCATTATATATATACAGTATAATAGGCTAAACTTTTATGCATTATATTTAGATCATATTTAGTTCAATCAATAGTTTCAAAAAATGATAATTAAATAAAATATACCATAATTTGAAAGCTCTACTTATATCGTTAAGAGAATTTACTATATTGTCCTGTACTGTATAAGACAAAAATAAAATTAATAATAATAACAAAAAAAGAAATATTAACTTTATTTCTACATATATATACATATAATATATAAATAAAAATACATAAATACAATATCTAAAACAATAGGAGAGTAAAAATAATAAACAAAAATACTAAAACTTTTATATATATATTTCGGCACATTTTCCAGACTTCCTATGACTCGATTGACTGAACACTCCGGAGAGTACCGTATAATACAGTTTATATATATACATGTCTTCAAAATTGGTCTCAATTTGGAGTCATGTAATAATAATAATAATATAAATAGTTATATAAATGTATATTTTGTTTTCTTGTTTTCCTAACTATTTTTGTGGATGCTTTTAAGATGCTATCAATGGCTAATATTATATATATATATAATATAAATATCAAGATATTAGCCGCAAATATTTTTAAAAGATATATATACTTAAATAACCCTTAAGTAATGTTTATTGATAGCACATTGAGATAGCAAAAGCACATATGATATACAAGTAGATATAAAAAAATTATTTTTAAGTTTGATTAAAAACAAATAAATAAAAATTTTATAAACACTTATATTGATATTATCTCTTTTTCAATTTTTTCAAATTAGTATTTTATTATAATTTACAATAAAAAAACAAAATTTAGCCAAAAAACAAAAGTTATTTTAATAGTTAGATAATATCTAATTAACAAAAAAAGTGAGTGAGTGAGTGTGTGTGTGTTAATTTTGTTGTTGTTGTTGATAAATTGAGATAACAAATTAGGAAAAACGATTTTTTTTACTATACGATACTAACGTTTTTTTAAATAATAAGATAATTGGTTCAATCGGTCAATTTATTTTAATTTTGCACATTGTTTTAAAAATAAATATTGTTTTTCCTATAAAAAAATTAAATAATTTTAAATAATTTCCAGATGTATTCATTATTATAAAACTCATGTTTTACTAGTAGTAGTATTGTTTGCAATATGTCTGTACCGGCATATATATGATAGCACTTTCCCCAGTGATTAGCTCTTTATTATTATAATTATTATTAAAAGATTAAACATTTACTTCCCATTCCTCAGCAGTTAATCTCATTCAGACATTCATAAAAGTTTTGTTTTATTTTTGTTTTGTTGCAGTGATTCACAACTTTGCGATCTTATCTAACAATATATTTTGACTTATAATACAATAATAATAATAAGATTAATGACATATTACGAGTTAAATACAGTAAAAGTTTTTTTAATACTAAATAAAGAAAATAAATATTATAATGAATTAATTATTATTTGTTATAATTTTTTAGCCAAGATAATGTTACTTAATAACAATTGGCCAAATAACTATTATAATTTATAAATACTTTTATTATTTTTTCCTTTAATTATAGATCTATAATAATGATAATAATATAAATTATAATATATGAATTAATAAATAAATAAATTTTAGTGCAAAATGACAAGTCTTAACTATTGTAATAATATAAATAAGTAATTTCTGAAATTTTATTGCAATAAATAAATTGATTGATATTGTAATTAAATTTAATAATATTAATCAGATAATAAATACTAGATATAATTAATTATAAAAATTGATGTTTAACTTTATAATTAAATTTTTATTACTTTATACAGTACAGTAGAAATAGTGTATAAAAAAAATAAAATTTTTAGTTTTAGATTTTTACAGAAATTTATATACAATTTTTGATAAAATATTTATCAATAAATAGTGTGCACTCTATTGTCGTGCAATGAAACTAAACAATTGATTCAATAATTACTACAGTATATAAAATACAATATAGCAAACATTGAATGAAATTAATTGTATATATAGTATTAGATCAATATTTATTTATTAGTTAGGATTTAATTTTATAATATAAAATAATTTATAATTGTTAAATACTGTTTACAAAATTAAATGCTTTACTAAAACTAATTTTTTAAAATTAACATTTAAGTATTAAAAATAAATAAAT